CCCGCCGTTCATAATCGTCTACCAAAACGCGCCGTAACGTCTTTCCAGTGGACGACTTTGGCAACTAAACACAAAATGAGGATTATCCTCGCCCATGAGACATGGTCGCTCTCACCTCTCCGACAACTTCAATACCTCCATGGAGCCATTTTGACTTTACCAAATGTCTTTCGGTCCACCGTCTGAGGGCGTCAACCACGGCCGGATCCCCCGCCTTCTCGCCAGCTTTGCTTAACACGAGCCAGGCTCGGAGAAGCCTTTCGTGTGGGTTCATACCAACGCTCACCCCGGCAACGACAACTTCCCGGACATACTGTCCCGGGTGCGCGTAGAATATGGTCTCGACCTCTTCAGATAGTTTCTGTCGGCGGTCAAACCAAGTACGATTTTGATCTGAGGCATGGCTCACCGCTCGATCTGGGTCGAATGTGTTCATTGTTGCAATGGTGCAATGGTAGGATACGGGGACTAGAGCTGCGCCTTATCGAAGAACTATAAGTACTGTTCGTATGAGCCGAAGCATTTAACGCCACGGCCATATTTCTTCTTTTTTGGCATCATTGGAGAAAGAGGCAGTGGTCTAGAAGCCGCATATATTTGAGCACAGTTCGAAGCCGTTGATGAGAGATCTTGATCCACAGTCGTTATAGTACTTTCAATGCAGGTAAACCGGTACCGAGAAGAAAGGTGCGGTTATCCGGCCCGGACCCATGGTTCGATTCCAGCCGACCTTTTCGTTGAAATTCTTTCCATCCTACAGTATCATCCAGCCCCTTTTCCAGCAGGGTTGTGGTATAGCATTCTCCTCGTATCAACAAGACTGGTGTGCTTACTATCTGAATGGATGCCACATCAGTGACTGCGAGAATTCGAACATCATGATTGATGGTTTTGTGTCATGCTCTTGAAGCAAATTGCTTGAATAAGTAGTCCTGCAGGCGGTGCATCAAAGGCGTGGCGTTCGTTCGAATTCCATTGGTATCTCTGAGCACTTACTCGGTTGGGTCATCAAGTGGACCCGAGATGGTTCGAGGTGAGTCATGATTCCGCTTTTTTCAACGTTATAAGTGCCGCACGACTAACTTTCTCAGTCAGAGACTATCTACTTATTACATCACTCAGCATGGCTGTTCAGTATCGATATGATTACTAAAACCAATACTGTTGTACTATGGGCTCGGCCAAATTCGGCATTTCCCTTGCTCTGAGCTTACTTTGTTCGACGCTCCCGCCAGTGAAGAGCGCGCCCGCCGTGTGTTTTTCAGCCGAATTAGCTTTCAATCCAAACTTCTCTCTACAATGGACGCACTGAAGGTGGGTGTTCAACCCACATAACTGTACCTTTTCTCAACGCGATTTCGCAGGAGTTGGCTCTCAGAGGCTCAGGCGACGCTCTTGTTCAACTGGGAGAATTTGCTCGCGATGATTCCACCGTGTTCCCTCACTTCTTCCAGGTCATTCGTGTGTTTCTGAAGTACTTGCCGCCACCAGAGATGATGGACAAGTTATCTCCTAAAGACTTCTTCAAATCATTCAACAGACCCAGATCTTACTTTCATGCGCTTAATGTTGCTCTTCAATCGCCACAAGCTCTCGACCTTTCCAAACCAGCGGGACTAGTGATCACTTGTCGCCAGATATATCTTTGGGCTGTCAAATTTTTCCAGCACTATCTCATCGACACCAATACCCTCATTTCTATGTCGGTAGTGTCCTCAACTGCGGTTCGAATCGTGGAGTTCCTCGGTACCCTAGCCACCGACCCTGATTACAGTGCAAAGATGCGAGATACCAAAGGTTTCGGTTTTTCCATGACCGTCTTGTGGATATACAGTATTCGTGCGAAATATGGTCGGATCGAGGATAGTGTTAAGATCATCATGATGCACATCCTACTGAAACGCACTCTCGATGGCGAGGTTTCGAACGCTTTTAATCAGGTTCAGAACGAGATTTCAGACGCTTTTAATTGGGTTCAGAACCCTATTGTAGAACTCTGCCCTCGTATTGTTGCCAGCAAGCGGGAGCCTGACGCGGACTACGACGGGGGCATCATGTTCCTAGTCCTCAGCACGGCATATTCTCGTCCGTTCACCCGAGCATTCATCTCATGCCACTCTGTGTCGTGGATCTGTCGACGCATTGCGGGTATCGCGGCCAAGAAAGAGGAAACGTGCTCTCCCGATGAACTGGCCGTTTACTCCAGACTGCTTCAATTCTCGTTATTCTACTTGCATGAAGCGTTTCGGGAGGGTTCTGACCAAATAATCGAAGGGCTGGACGCTGACGTGATACCGGCACTCTTAAAGGCACTGTCAAAGGTGCGCGCCGAGGATAAGAAGGCGATTCTTGTTCCGTTGCTGAACTTGATGACATCGTACACACTCTGCCGCAACGTACTCGTAAAAATGTGCAAGGTCTTATATACGGCCGATTTCAAACCTGGCATTTCTGAGGCAGGACCGATTGGCGATGCTTGGACCGTGCTAAAGGAGACTACGGAGACACGTTGTGGTATACTCAAGGATTATATCGCTTCCGGGCGTGAACTGACAAAGTGCTCGTACCCCGCTGTGAGCTCTCTTTTATAATTTCCAATGGCCCATCGCTCATAGACCCTATCCAGTGTCCACACCCGGATAACGACCCCAAGCGGACGCTCAGACGTTGCCAAGGCTGCCGTTTCGAGTATTATTGCTCGAAAGAGTGTCAGAAACTACACTGGGGCGGTGGTCATAACGATCTTTGTCGAAGGACGCAACATGATCTTCGAGGTCAGTTCTTGCTTTCTATGAATAACTTCCGGTCAATGTTTTTAACGATCATTTGCAGATATTCTCTCCATGCCCATGTCGAAGCGCGAACTCCATTTCGCATATGCCATTATTGGAAAAGACATCCAGGATAACGCTCAACTTATTCAAAAGCTGAAGTCGGAAAAGCGGAGTGGCAGGGGCGGTTTCGTTGTTTTGATCACTGTCATGGATTACACACAAGTTCCAATGAAGTTGTACGTCCTCACGGACAAAGAGTTCCATACTACTGAAACCGTACCTGCTGAGAGGTGGAACACTTCTTTGGCGCTCGCGAAGGAAGCCAGAAAGGATTTAGTTCTTTTGAGAATTCGACAAGGAACAAAGAGGCTAGCGGTGCTGACATCACCATCGGCTTGAGCACGGAGGTGTAAAGGTGTTGAATTGGTGATGTATTGTAAACACAGTCTACTATTTAGCATTCTTGTCCGTTGATAGCTTCTAATGTAGCCTCTAGTCATGGTAGACTTTCGACTGATTTTTCTGAGAGTATATTTTAGATTTGATAGGCCCCATCGCCCGCATTCATCCCTTCGGATTTAAAGAGAGTGAGGAATCAGCTGCCGAAGATAAAAACACGCATGTATCACAAACTGCTTGCTCACGTCATGGTGAAATCATAATCAATTACTCGCATTCCATCGACGGTATCCCCAGGCCAATCAGAACTCTCACCCAACATCCCCAAGCGAGCACTCTCTGGCAGAATCGGCTCTGTAGGTCGCCTATATCCAATGGTATATTTAAGAAACCCGACTCAACGAGTTCAGACGGTATCCGAATACACCATTGCGCGCACGTCCGGCCACATTGAAGATGTGTCGATAACAGCGGACCCTTCAGGTCCCCTTCGTTCTCGTTCCATCAACATCAAACGTCCAGCAGCTCTCGTCCTCATTGACTCATGGTATACCGCTAAATCCCTGCTTCTTGACCGTGCTCGGCACTCCGGAGTATCAAATACAGATCCTCGACCAGTCTAGTTTCTCTCAATGGTGCGCCTCTTGGCAAGCAGACATCACGGAGCACACAAAGACAACAACCGACTGCCATCGGAAGATTTGTAACCTTCCTTTCTCTATCGTACGCATGAATCCGTGAATCCGACATTCACCAGCTGTGGAGTATCACCGGTATCCATTGTTGTGCGGCCCAGTGAAGAGTGCAAGTTCCTGCATATCTCGCCCGATTCAGACGTCAACAAGGTTAATCACAGCCATTCTATATGCTCTAGATCCAACTAGCGAATAAATATTCGGTCCACTCTTCCATATCTTATAAACTTTACCTTCAGTGGTCGTATTGACTAAACCCATCGCCACAACTTTCTCTGCTACCATGACTGGAATAGAGAATATGCGGCAGAGGGTCAGAGTACTTACAGGAAATCGTCCCTTGACAGTGTAGTGTAATTACTCGCAATCCAAGCTTTATAGAAATGGACAAACCAACGAAGGCATAGTACGTATCTGTATTTAAAGATTATTTCTGTTCAATAGGAAGGAAGATTTGATCCTTGCATAGTGTCGTCCTTCGCATTGGATCTTGGAAATTCCAAGTACTTCGGCGAGGCAACGGGAAGGAGTTACGAAGGGCTCGTACCAAGAGCATCACAGAAGGATGAATTAATATTTGGGGGATGTAAGATCAAAATAGTCCGTAGATATCTGTACTATAGAATGAATTGCGTGCATCCTCCAGTATATTTAAAAAATGCGTCGACAGGCGCAAGGAAGGTGGGAACATTAACACGTCGTTGCTTACATCTGCACGTCCTCTCCAAATCCGAGATCAAAGTGGCATATAGACTGCAGGTACTTCCAATCTTCCAAAGTCAAGGACGGCTCCAACTCGTTCGGTATGTCGTCAAACACCGGCGTTGGTGCATATTCCTCGTAAAAGGCTCTGAGAACACTATCAGAGCTATGCGAATCGGGTCAGAACACGGACGGACCGATCTGATATCAGCCATAGCCTCTTCGTAGCTATCTTGGTAATTACCTTCATGCTAAGGAAGACAGACCCCATCAAGCACCATTTCAAGGATTCGCTAAGTGGGCAAGATATAGTCTGGTCAGAATAATGCATTGAGAGAATTCGATGGGTCACAGTGATACACACATTTCGCTCGAGTCGGCAGGGGTGTAATAGGCGTCCATGGTGGCGAATAAACTGTAAAGCTAAGGCGAGTTTCATAGCGGTTTATAAAGAGCAGTCGTCCTGTTGCGAGTCGCCATTAGCACTATAACCAGGGTGGATAAACACAATCCCTGGCCCCCTTTCTTATGACTCGGTGACCTCGCTGTACATACATTGTAGAATACAACGTGTTGAGAGCAGAAGCAGCGGCTAAGTTGGCGACTACTCAACCATTTTTATAAGGATCTTACAGCATTGGACAGTCATGGGTGCAGCTTAACGCCAGGATCCGGGTCGCCGGTTGAAGAGTGTCATCATTCCGCGTTATTTTAGGGAACCGTAGGAACGCACTACAGACAGTAGCTGCACCTATACTCGTCTGGCAACACATTTCCAGTAATCCACCCAATTATAAGCGCTGCATTTGCCGTTGAGATCATCGCATCGGAATATTTGCGTGGTATATAACCACGCTTATTTGGCCCTTCAAAAAAGCTAAGGAATCTGGACCGGACCCAGTGGACGGTGAACCACTCCTTGAGCATATGACAAACATTAAGCAGTCGGATACCGTGTCGACATCATTCAAATTGACGATATTGACGACATTAGCCGATGGCAAGAATATTAGATGGTCAGTCGGTTAATCATGGTTTTTGGCAACTTCCAAAAATGCAGAACTCTTAGCAGATAATTAGTAGGTTTGTTGACAGTTCAGACACAAAGCAGAGAGAAAATCACCTTGCAAGCATAACAGGACACCATAATAAATTCACATAAAGACCCAGAGCTGTCAGAGGAGGTAAATATAGCGTCAAAGATAAAGATTGGTGGATTCCATTAAAAAATTGAAATTAATCGGGTTTAAACTCCCGGAGACCCCTTTGGCTGCACGTTGGAAGCGACTGTGTCGCTGGACCACCTCTGCAATAGCTCCCACCAAAAAAAGAAAAGAAAAAAAGAAAAAACCAAAATTGAGATTAATGGCCCTTAGGGCCGGGGCCCGAGACGTTCAGTTCGGCCTCAGCGGTGATTTCGGCTTTCCATTCAACGGTTCTGGTTCTAACGCTGTCTTGCCAAATTGCATTGCGTCAGGCACTTGATGACAAGGTTGCACCCTTGATTTCGAATCTCCCAATCCCAATCACTTGCGCTAGCTCATCATCAGTGATGTTCTTTAGATTCTTCTGAAAATGGAGAAAATTCTACTTCGAAAAGCAGTCTACCGGACCTGATCTATGGCACTGTTCAAACCAGTGATTCACCGCGATACTGTAATCATATATTATCCCCGCTAATGGGTGCGCAAGACCGAAAGTTGGGGCCATCTTCACTCTAATAGAGACGTCAATACTTATATATAACAGCAGATACGGTGTACATGGCCCAGATTTACCGCCGTTGAAACTGATATCCGATTGCCAGAGAACTTGGGCTGTTCTGATGGTGGCTGATCAGTGGACTTCTCACACTAGTAGCAACTCGTCGCCGGCGCTGGAGATACTGGATGATCATCGGCGGTGGATGCAGTCTGCAGATGTTCTACAACTATCCGTGATAAACCTTTTATTCGCTTGTCCTGGATAGGCTGTCATAATTCACGTCTCTGGTTTCAGTTCCCTGGAGAAGGGTAATGGTTTCCTCAGTGATCAACAACATGCGCCCAATGAACTTGTCATCATTCTGTTGATTTTCTGTGTCCTCATGGGGGTATCCAGAAGTGTTTCATCTTCATCTCAAGATGATCGCCGCACGAGCGATATCGGCTTCATTACTTTTCCGTTCATGTGTTGAGGATCCACTGGCAGGGACGTTTCTATGGAGTGTACATAAGGGTGCAGATAACCGAGAGCGTTCACCAAACTTTCTTCTACGATGGCATCCTCAAACTCAACAGACATTCCGCAACTGTCTGATAATGACATCAAGTTGGTGTACGATGTTAACAACGAATACCTTAACCAGCTCGTCGTTCTCGCACTTATGCACGGTATACTGTTTCTCGGCGATGTTTTGAGATCGTTGTCTGATCTTCGAAATAGGACTATATACCTGCGTATTATTGGTGACCTTATGGAGTATATGTATGTCGTATTCGGGGGGACATTTTCTCGTACCCATTCCAGATATCTAGGTACCAGCAAGGTATTGGCTTGCGCTGCAACCCGAAAATTCATGCTTCTCATGGTCATGGTATTATACGTACTCGCCACGGTGTACATGGGCGTTCTGTGGTCATTCACTCGATACGCATTCATTGATGACGGCCAGACATTTTGGTCCATATTCGTTGGACTGCAGTCCGTAACTGACCGTGCGGTGACTTTCCGACTAGTTGGGGGTATTACTAAGTGCACTAGTACTGTCATTGCCGACTCTTCCATGGTATGTATACACTCATCATGTATTAGCCTTGAATTTAACCCCTTCTTAGATATGGCGCTGTTGGATCGTCTGGGGGCGTCGATGCTGGATAATATTGCTACCAATACTATGCACGATCTCCGGGACTGGTAAGACAGATATCCTTGCCATCATTTACAATTCCACAACATTCACATACTACCTTTTAGTATTTGACGCGATTTCTGTTTATCACCTCGTTGCCGATACGACCGAAGACGAAAGCGACTCGGGCTCATCTGCGTATGCGATCAGGATTGACTGGACAATGCTTTCCCTGTCCTTCACCCTTGCTACGACCGTTTTATGCACCATACTTATCATTTATCGAATCGTCACAGTGGCAGACGGGAAACATGGTTCAGGGTTGCCATCATACCGCGGGGTTGTTGAAGTCATCGTGGAATCGGCTGCACTTTATTCGGCTTCCACGATCGTCTATATGGCGTTCGTCGCCCGTAATGAACTGACGGGAGCATATGCGAACGAGGTCAACACCGCCATCAAGGTCCGTTGATATTGGTGCAGTGTGCCGTGAGATTGGACTCTAATATAGCCTTACACAGGGAATCGCTCCTACGCTCATCGTTGGACGCGTTGCTTCTGGCCATGCTCGTCCTGATGATACGTGGAAGGAAAGTGTCTTATCCTCGCTTCATTTTGGTGCTTGGTCACGGGCCGCCAGAAACAGAGAGGCAACTCACACTGTCACATTTGAGAATTCGGTCATGGACTTGGAGAATGTGAACTCTTCGGAGAGGCCCCAAACTGGCGCTGAAAACGAACTTCCGATTAAAGAACTATCATGACAATCTGTATGATCCCCACTGGCAGGGAGTTTCTTGTAGAATTGATAAAAAATCGGACGGTTCAACAGAGATATAGGCTATAGCATCTGCGGTGGAGGGTGCAGGAGATTGACAGAACATATACAGTTCAAGGTTTGTCTATCGCGATCTTGTAAGATAAATGGCGGCAGACGATTCTTTTCGCTTTGGGCCAGATCAGAGCACCACAGTAGCACCAAGAGCAGCGTTGCCGGAGTCAGGTCAAGTATTTGACGCTGACCGGGTCAGACCCCCGGTCGGTCAAACCGGTCAGAGCCGATGAAGATATGAGGGGGGTCACAAAGGGTCAGATAGGCAACCGGTAGGGCGAAGAGCATTATAAGAAACGGCTATAGCTAAGTAAATCTTTCATTCTTTTGGCTTTCTCCAGTCAAAGGGCCCAAACCGAGCACTTACTAGGGTATATTTATGAAGACATTCATGAAATAGAGGTGAGCATCATGCATCGGTGTGATAATTGGGTTCAGTAAAGCCGCGAAATAGATCAGTGGTCCTCCAACGTCCAATACGCATCACTCAGAAAAGGAACAAACAATTCTAATCGCGGTAACGGAATGTAAACTCAGTTTTGACACCAGACCTAGGTCAGTCAAACAAGAGGTCAACAAAAATACCTTGACCCCCACTGATCCCGGTCATGACCCGGTCGTAGAGGTCAGAGAAATGTTTGCTGACCTCTTGTTTGACTGACCCAGGTCTGACCTGGGGTCATGAACAACTGCCAGATTGCAATTGCGAATCTTCGGGGTGGTGGCTCAGCTGCGAGTTCCACGTGGAGTACACGTGGCGTTTCCGCAGGCACAACAGCAAGCGGACCGGCCGCCGCCGCTTCTACTGCCACGACCTCATTCTTCTACTGCATGCCACGACGATGATTATCGAGACAATTATTCTGCTCGCCTTTCGGTGCGCTTGCCTTCCTTTATTCTGACTTTCATACTGAAGCTCGACCAAAGGGGGGCCTTGTTCTTCGGTTGCAGACGGTATATTCTACGCATCCTGTACGAGGACTTGCAGGAACTATCTTCTACTCCTGAGGCCGAAACTGTTGAGCTATCACTGCCGACATCAAACACATCGATGGTTCAAAAGGGTCAGAAACAGGGGGCCAAAGAAGAGAGGCATACCAGTATTTCCCACTCAACATTTGCCCTGTGTTTTATGGAGAGCTGTACACTCTTTCTCTTGCTGATGTTCCAAGGGTTGGACATATTTACTCCTGTGTAAGTACATCACACCAGCTCCGTCTTTATATATCTTACATTCATTTACTTCTAGCATCCGTGTCCTACATTTTCGCATTTGTCTCCTCCTTCTCCTTCTAATCATCCTCCTGGCTGTTCCCCTTCTTTTTTCATACATCATCTTCTCAAGGCCTTTTCTATCATTAGTCCCTCCTTTGATATCTCTGTTTTTGTTATCGTTTATTCCGCTACCATCACCGCTCGACTCAAATCCTGACATCGATTTGATGACCGCATGCCTATCTAGACTGATTGTTGTAGGAACAATCATTCTGGGCGCTCTTTCCGGCTTTGGTGCAATGAGGAGTTGCTGGTTATATCTGCTTGCGCAGGAAAGGTATCGACACTACTTTCCTGGATATTCCTTATATTGACACCCTGTTAGGCCCACCCCAACGGACAGAGACATAGAAGTGAGCACTGCTGCGCTTGCCCGCATTAGGGAGGACTTACGTGCGCGAATGGACGAAGCGAAGAGGAAGGATAACGTTTGTTCCTTGCTTTTGTTTTCTTCTCTATTACTCACTTAATGATGTTTTCACATACAGAACGAGACTGCGCCGTGGTATTCGCGCGTCGTCAAGAGTTTTGGCAGTGATAATAGTAATTACGCGTTTTCTTCATGTCCGTACAAATTTTCTGACCTTAGATTCAGTTTCTCGGGAAATATCTGGGCTTCAAGCACTCGAATACCAAATGGCCCTTTCGCTTGACGACAAGCGTGAGCGTCAACGGGCCAATCGTTTCAGTCGGACTCTTTACGGGTGTGCATGGAATCTCGGCGGCAAAGTGTTCGCAGTCTACTGCGTGATCAGAATTTTGAGCGTATGGATTTTCTTCCTTTCTCGTTGATTGTCGTTGAGAGCTTGCGCAGTCAATTATCAACTTGGCGTTTCCAACTCTCAGGCGCACATCGTCATCTTCTTCATCGGAATACAACTATCCTGATCTCGTCGCATATCTCCTTTCCCTCCTCCTGCCTTACCCACAAGATCGCGTCGTGGCGGTATCGAGACAGATCGGCCTTGTCTTTGTTGGACTCATCATATTGAGCAGCATCAGACTGGTCTTACGAAGTGCTACGCGAGTAAGCCGTCATACTGTCCACTCTATTGCCAAGGAGTACTTATAATTCTTGCTGCAGGTCCTGAGAGTTACATCCCGTAACCGTGGCGCGTCGCTAATGATGCTTCTTCTGGCTCAGCTCATAGGCATTTACCTTCTCTCGACGGTCGTCCAGCTGCGCACGTCATTTCCTCCCCCATCTACAAACGCTGTGTCCCCAGACGATGAAGTTCCAGACGGGAAACCTACGAACCTGTTCTCGTTAATACCCGAAGGCCAGGTGTTTGGAGGTTTATTCGACGCTTCGTTCCTCTTGGCAGCAGTGGCTGAGGGAGTAGTGGTGTGGATAGGGGACAAATTCGGTGCTGGTTCTGGATATGATGTATAAAGGGGGCGAGGTCTTGGTCGTTCGTAAGAGTGCCTGAGGCATAGACGTACCAATCGGATGGTCGGATAAGAGGCGTTTGTTGACGTTAAGCGTGCGGCATAGGAGTCCGCTATGCATCGGCACTCATAAAGCCGGACTTTATGCTAGGACCATGACTGTAACTGAGGGCATACGCCTGACATGAGGCAAGTGTGGGCCCTCGGAAATATGGACATTCTCAATGCTCACGTGCGCGGATCGAGGTACTCATTGTTCTCGGATGGTCGGAAGACCAGTATCCTTGGTTTTCTGCACTGTCACGATGAATGACAGCCGCGGGGTCCAGTGCACTATCAGACGTAGCTTTGATGACGAGACCCGGATACCCTTCCCTTCACATATCCGAAGCACCGTGTTCGTGTTGTCATCACCATCTCTTCACATAACTACTTATGACAAATGTAGCAAGTTACGTGTGGATATCCTTCATTACTGCGCTCAATTATCATCTCGTAATCCATTTTAATGATGCAAAATTGTTGAGTGATCCGGCCTTTCTTATGATAGATTTTTTACCTCTGTGAACGGAGCACCGATGATTAAAAGCGGAAACTCAATATACTATTGTATTGGTCGACTAACAGTACAACAGGAAGTCAATCAACAGTGCACTGCGGTCTTCCAGAAACGTTCTTGTAAAATGTATAGTGCAAGAGGAAAACACACTTCCTTATCCCAACACCAACCGCGCAAACTGGCCCGTCAGGAGTATCGCTTCCATCTGCACAGTAGCAAATCTCGCGACGCCACAAGATTCGCTCTCAATGTGCTGGATGAGCGATGAAATGAGCTTGAACTTTTTTCCACACTTTCTCTTTGGACATTTGAACTCGTCGGCATCATGCACCGGAGAGTTGAGGTGTAAATTGAGGAACTGGAGCTTGGTGAACGTGCCATGGCAGATATAGCATTCGTATGCCTTTCCGTTGAAAGCCATTTCCGACGCCGAAAAATGGACAACAGGACTCGCTGGGCTCTCGATACGGCGAGCGATGGTGATGGGGGGCGAGATATCGATGGCATGGATGGCGGCGCTAACGTGGTGTCGGTTGATGTTGGGATTGCATCCGCCTGATTCGACGTGCGCAGCGATCTCAGAGGGCGCTTTGAACATCCTCGAGCACATCGCGCAGGGGATATCGGATGTTTTGTGAGCTCGGGAAGATCTGTGCTACAAATGATTGTCAATGACAGGTCAAGTCGTCGTGTAGAATTAGAATTGCATACCTGTTGACAGGCCCAGTCGCTGCTGAACAGACGATCGCAGAGAGAACAATAACGGCTATGATGGGATGCACATAGATGCTGTGAATCATCAGTGAGCCCGTGGAACGTACGATGACGACGAGATCATGCACTTACAGAGCAAAGCGAAGCCCTATCGGAGAAGAGGATAGTGCAGTCCGCACAGAATTCGTGGTCCTTCTTTGCCTGACAATGCATGATCCATCCTTCGCGAGTGCGCAATCTTTTGTCGCAGTAAGAGCATTGGATCATGGTGGCCAACAGTCGAGTGCAGAGGCGACATGTCTGCGAAGCGACGATGGGAAAACGAAGAGAGCCCACGAGGCTTTGATCGGCATGAAAGGAAGAGAAGTAAGCTCACTGAAGCGCTATACCTGTCATAGTCAAACTGCAGAAATGACCAATTATCAATTGTTCAGTACTCCTTGTATCATGCCGCTATAAAGTTCGAAGCGAGGCATACTCCAAATGTGAAAAAGCGAAACTTTGGACCGGAAGACAATCCTGCTGAAAAGTATATTCGAGCTGTAAAGAACTAAGCCAGACTGAGCGCATGATCACAAGTCCAGAACCCAGAAAGCTAGGGATCCGATTACGAGAGCGACTGAATAGCGGAGGAAACGTATGAGCCGGCAAAGACGTAACGAACATCCAAAATGCTCGCTGAATTACTTAGCCTTTAGGACGGAGACTTCTAATGAAGGCTCCGGAGACGGTCGCAAGCCAGAGAAATTAGAGGATCCAGAAATTAAACTCGATTGAAAGACTAATGAGTAATTTTTAGCGCCAGCCGTTAGGTCTGATAGTGAGAACGCATCAGAAAAGCAAAAGTTCGAAAGCAGGGTCGGAATTTCCCACGCATCTTCTCCCGAACCAATTTAACAACGGATGAATAAATCGTAAGGTGTAGGGCACAACGGACAACCACCCCTATTGAATAGCAATTTGGAGATGCATATTTCTTTTTGCAGGAAGGAGACCAAGGCACGAAGAGTAATTCTATTGTCAGGTATGTCCTTGCTCTGTCATACTCGACCGATTAGTAGATTTCCTACTATCACTATGCTATTGTTTTAGGCTGTTTCTCTTTGCACACCGCTGAGAGCAGACAGGTCAGTGAATCTTGTGCCGGCCTTTTTACAGTTAGAGTCGTCCGAGTGTCACAGTTGCGTGTTCGGTTAACTTTATCGTGGCTGCTTACTCATGAGATATCACTCTAATCAGTGCGGGCCTGAGTCTGGTCAGACAATGAAAAGGGCGAGAGAATTCTGCTATTTTATTACATAGTTATATTCTTATATACTAGAGTTATGTTTCCTACCCGGTAATAATACAACGTGAGTCAGATGACTCGGTAACAAGTCACAATGAATTATATAGAAGAGAAGGGGAAGAGAAGATGACGGCATCAAGAAATAATAGAAGTAAACCGGAGGGAATAGTACCATACAACGCTCGTTGTAACGCTACAATGGGATCATCCTGCGGAATTGATATCTAGTGTCGGCACTACAGTAACATTCTCTAGTATATCGGTGAGTATACACGCATGTCATACGTCTGGAAGGGTGTTCACGCGAAAGCTGGGTTCGACTCCCAGTCGGAGAGTTGTGGGAACATAAGATTTTGTTGTGTTCTATCAATGTCCCGCTGGCACGCCGTGGCTTTGGGTTGCGCACGAAACTGGGTAACTTACCGGACTTACCTGAAACCTTGGTATAATAAAACCTAGGTTTTGTGTGTTACTCTAGCTGGCACCCGATACTGTATCAGGTATGTTGGTTCAGAAATCAACTTAGCAAATGGTTACTGAGTTGAAGACCATGGGCAGTTATTGCATACTGGATATGAAATCCAAGCATCTTTTTTAATGATAGTGAACTCTCCTTAAGGTGCATATCCATTTTCAACATCTGGTTTACTTATTATGGACTCAATGCACAGCTAGAGAATGAACAAAAAACAAGAGAAGGCTCTTTGTGGTGTGAAGCCATTGATCTTGAACTTGCAGGATTCATCATCCAGAGTAGATGATATATGATGAGATAACATTCATTGTCTTTGCTAAACAATGGGAGTAAAACCACACAGAGAGTTCAGTAAACTTATAGTATCTGGCCTTGTAAATCTCCTGGTCTGGGAGTTTCAAAAGAATAATATGATTCTCAGCTGATGTTTCTCTCCAAAAAACTTCTTATACATTTGCTGAATATCACAATGGGCTGCATAGAATAGGAAACATATTCAGAGCAGAACATGTTTTTGCTTGCTCCAGCCATGGAGCAGTGTTTTTGTCATAGATGATATAGGCAGAGATGCCAACAAATGCCTGAGTTTTGACTGGAATAGAGAATACATAATAGAGAGTCAGACAAACCATTCTCTGAGAATAGACCATAATGACTTACAATCTAAGCTTTATGGAAATAGACAAACCAGTGAAGTCATAACATATATCTGTATTTAAAGATGATTTCTGTTCACCAGAAGGATAGTTTGATCCTAATATAATATCACTCTTTGCATTGGATCATGGAAATTTCAAGTACTTCAGTGAGATAATGAGAAAACTAAGAGCAATAAATTAATATATGAGAAACCATAAGATCAAAATAGTCTGTGAATATTCATACTATAGAATGAGTCAGATGTATCCTCCAGCCTATCCTAACAGAATGTCAACAGCCACAAGAAGCATCAGAATGTCACTGAACTACTTAACCATTAGTACAGAAAAGGCTCTGGAGACAGTCACACACCAGATAAATTCAAGAATCCAGAAATTTAACTCAATCAAAAAGACTAATGAGTAATTTTCAATACAAGCCATTCATGAGAATGCATCAGAGAGCAGGATCAGAGTTTTCCATGCCTTGTCTCCAAAACTAAGTTAACAAGAGATGAATGATGGTAAGATGCATGTTTCTATGATGAAGAGCACAACAATCTCTGTTGGACAATGATTTTGAGAGTGATTGCAATTTTTTTTTCTGCAGAAAGAAGATCAAATCAAAGAATGAAGAATCATTCATTTGTTAGATATGTCCTTGCACTATTATATTTGATTGATTAGATCTTCTACTACCACTGTGCTATTGTATGTTAGGCTGTTTCTCTTTGCATACCACTGAGAGCTGACAGATGAACAAATATTGCACTGGCCCTTTTTATAATTAGAGTCATCTGAGTCTGCACACATTACAGCTGCATGTTTGGTTAACTTTATCATAGCTGCTTACTCACTGTAAAGGTCATCTGATGAAATTGATGTCCATCATTTGTCCACCATTAGCACTGTAATCATGAATATTGTCAGCTTACTCCACTTCCATTAGAAAGATGTACAAATATGCTTCTATCATGCTTATGAATAGTTCTTAACTCTGACCAATAAAATCTCATCTTCTATTCTTTTTATCCTGATGCTACTGAGTCTTGATCACATGTGCACTCTTAGAGAGACCAATATGCTGACAAGTCTTATAACATATCTATATATTTTCAAACTTGAATTGGACTATCTGTCAAAAGGCTTGAGTTCTTATTTGATACAGCAATTTTCCCTGCTAATATCCTCACCAATGGGTGTCTCTTTATTATATAAGCTTGGAAACTGGTAATAGGAGAAATTGGATAAATGAGACATCTTGCCTGGCTTAAGTGAGGTTACTGTATAATAAAGGTTTGCTTGGTCACAATAACATTATGCTGGCTTTCACTTTGTATAGGTTTTGGCACACCAATTTATATGTGCTTGAAAGAATCTAGATTTACATAAGAATTCACAAAATATATAAAAGAGATTGGTGTGCATTACATGGATAGAGAAAGAAGTAAATGCAAAGGTGTCTTTCAACACCTTCAAGTATGATTAGTTTTTATCACATGTCATAGCTAACTTATATGTGCCACCAGTCTTTGCTATGGCTACATTAATATTTTTTGCCAATAAGAACCAGGTGCATTACCAGCTGAACTTGCCTTCTTCTATATTGAGCAGCATACAGAAAATAGCAAATGAGGCATCATGTTCACTTTATTGCCCTCAATAAAATCACCTTATGTCAGACATGTTGGAAGGAGTGGGTGGTTAGAGTAACATCAGCTGATGTGACCTCCAGCCATTCAATCCCCCAAACTACACCACTGCTTTATGTGAATATTCCAGGATCTATCAAATAATTTTTATTCCAATCATAGACAAAATTGACAATGTATCTTATTAATCTTTAGTCATTAAATCATTCTCTGATAGTCCACCAGTTATTACATGTGTCTGTTATGTATCAGAAATCGGAGGGTGTTTGTGTGAAAGATGGGTTCAACTCCCAGCCAGAGAGTTCCCAGCCTCGGCCCATTATTCTATTTTGTTCTGTTCTATCAATGTCTTGCTGGCAAGCCGGGGTTCCCCAGGGGGCGGGGGGGAAGTTACGGTCCTATACCGACCCCTCAGGGAGGGGTGTTTTGATATGGTAATATATTGTTACTTACCTTATCACATGCGTAATCACACGCCTGGTGCACAGTAATCAGAACGTCGACGTGCGAAACCGTTGGCCTTCAAGTGGCAGGATTTATTCATTCAGGGCAGACGATACATGATGCGGTAATTCCCTGTTCATGCATTTGCCAAAGAATGGGAATATAACCGCATAGTGAGTTCGGCGAATTTATAGGATCTGGCCTGGGAGCACCAAATGAATAATATGACTCTCCGCAATATTCACCCCAAAAAAATTCTTACACAATTGCTGAACATCCCAATGGGTTGCATAGAATGGGAAACACATTCAGAACAGACCGCACTTTTTGCTCGCCCCAGCCGTGGAGCGAGCAACGTTTTGGTCGTAGAAGTGGAGATGCCAACCGAGGCCCGAGTTTTGACCGGAATAGAGAATGCGTGGTAGAGAGTCAGACAAACCGTTCCCTGAGAATGGAGCATAATGACTCGCAATCTGAGCTTTACAGAAATGTACAAATCAGCAAAGGCATAGCACGTATCTGCATTTAAAGATGATTTCTGTTCGCCGAAAGGATGATTTGATCCTTGCATAGGTGTCGCCCTTCGCACTGGATCGTGGAAATTCCAAGTACTTCGGAGAGGCAACGAGTGGTTACGAAGGGCTCGTACCAAGTGCATCATAGGACGGTAAATTAATATACGGGGGACGTAAGATCAAAATAGTCCGTAGATATCTGTACCATAGAATGAATCGGGTGTATCCTCCAGCCTATCATAACAAAAAATGTCAACAGGCGCAAGGAGCATTAACATTTCGTCGCTTACGTCGGCACATCCCCTCCAAAGCCGAGATCAAAGTGGCATATAGACTGCAGGTACTCCCAGTCTTCCAAAGTCAAAGGCGGCTCGGACTCGCTCGGTATGTCGTCAAACACCGGCGTCGGTGCGTATCCCTCGTAAAAGGCTCTGAGAACACTATCAGAGCTATGCAGCGTATCACGTCAGAACACGGAGGAATCGACCTGATATCAGCCATAGCCTCTTCGTAGCTATCTTGGTAATTCCCTTCGTGTGAAAACAGACAGACGCCGTCAAGCGTCATTTCAAGGATTACGCTAAGTAGGCGAGATGGTCAAAGTAATGCGTTCAAAGAATTCGATGGTCACAGTGATACTCACTTTTCGCTCAAGTCGGCAGGAGTGTAATAGACGTCCATGGTGGCGAGTAACCTGTAAAGCTAAGGCATGTGCGCTTTATAAAGACCAATCGCCTTGTTGCGAGTCGCCATTGGCATCATCACCAGCATGAATAAACACAATCCCTGCCACTTGACTCGGTGACCTCGCTGATGGCATCGTGATAAAAAGGCTCCAAAGACAATATCCAGCCTTCTTCAGCAGGACAGGTCAATGAATGTGACAGTACCCTGACTCGGAAAACAAAAGAGAAGACATTGATAGTTTGCTTTATTCAAAGATCCGCTTTGGTCAAGTTCGACGCACCTACCTAGCGAAGCCTGCCGTGAGAGAGAAAAGAGAGCATTTGCCAGCCTAGAGAGAGAGAGAAACAAAAGACGACGCGTCGTGGGTAGTTGTTGGGGAACAAGAGGCGTCGGAACATTAATTTTGCTGGTTTATTCTGTTATTCATTTGGCGCGCTACTGCCCGCCAATGTTTCTTGAGGGATATTGTTACCTAGTAGGATTGTGAGTAGTTATACCGACATAATCCCCATTCAAAGCTTCCAGATCCAATTACAGTGCCGCAAAGACCACTATCTTAGATGCAAAGGAAGGGTCCCACTCAGTTCCTGCCACAGCAGCCGGCCCGACTCACCTAAACCATGGAGGAAAGCATCTAAAATAAGTACGTTGTTATACATATTCTATATATTTTTAACCTCCCCTCCTCCCCTTACTAGGGTATGAAATACGTAAATGAAAACGAATGGACGTTCATGGATACAGGTAAGAACATAACAACGTCATAATGGAAGAGAAAAAAAAAAGCAAGTAAATAGCACAAATTTGGAAGCATACGCACGAATAATATCTCTCCCGCATCCTCCTCCTCCAAATAAAAAAAATACTTGAGCAGATCATGCCCTTATCCTCCATCCATCGCCTTTCCGACTGACCTTACCTACCCCTCCAAAGCCCTCTCTTACGACGAGCCATAACCCCGTACTGCAAACGACATCCTTAATCTCCTCGGCTGTAAACACGAGGCCCGTGGGAGCTATGACAAAACATGACATGGGAAAAAGACAAGCAGAAAGACGATGCTTACTGCCTTCACTAACCACCTTTCTCCCACCCCCTTCTCCCACCCCCTCCTCGAGACTGACCACCCTTCTCCTTACGATCCCAACCCGCTCAACCTCTACGTCTGGTAATGGATACGGCACCTTGAGCATCGCAACCACCTTTGGATGATGCGGTGTCGGCGAGAGCGTCCCAACCTTGACCTTCACAGACCGCGCCTCTGGCACAGTGCGCGGCGACGGAAAAAAATTCCTATTCGTCGACGTTGGCGTCCTCGGTAGCAACGGGCCAAGGCTTTTCACCTTGACAGTACACGTCCACGGCGTTTCTGAATCTTCCGGATCACTCTCCTCTCCATCGTCCTCTCCTGTTTTCAATCTTGAAAATCCCTCCGCACTCGTCGCTGACGTCGAGCTTCCACTCCCCACACTTGTCCGCTTTCTACGGGGCGCGGCGGGTGTATTAGGATTCTTGGCGCGCTTCTTTTTCGGTTTCCCCCGTCGCCATTCAACACGAACTTCACTGCCTTCCCCGACTACGATTTGATTTGATCCTCGCAACATGCCTCCGAGTACACTGCCCACGTCCCCCTTGAGCCACCGCCTCACGGTCCAGACATACATCGCGGGTCCACGACCATTAAACACCCCTCTTACTGCTGGTGGATAAGCCGAAGACGTGAATAAGGAGACAAGGTTCGGGTAAGTTGCGGGGTTGGTGGTTGATATCGACAAAAGAGGCTGGATACCGAGTGTTGCCGGAAGGAGGACTTCACGGGGAACGTTAGCTGCTTGTGGTTCCTCCTTCTCTGCCAGTGGCACGTCGACAGACCTTCGCGGGAAGATGGGTGACGGCGAACGGTGCATCGAGCCGGCAGACAGATTCCGGGTATGCCGTGCTTGCGTTGGCGTCATGTCTGGCGTGGCAGGTTCCTTGGAATTTCGCTTGAACATCTTGCCGAATAGGTTCTTCCGAGCCTTGTCGCTGGTAGCAGAAGGGGCATGTGAGCCGGCACTTGACAGTGAAACAGCGCTCGATGCAGGGCTGGGTCCGGTCGGAGGCATCAAAGCGCCAGCTGATGAACGCGAATCCTGCTGTTTCACCTCCCGGTTGTCGACCTTGGACGCTGCCCAAACTTCCACAGGCTCCATCACAGCCAAATCAATCAACTCCATTCCCCTTTTGGCGAATTTAGCAATTTTGGCGTCAGTCCCAGCATCGACGACGATGTTCGTCATGACATTGTGAGCCTGCAAGTTGTAGAGAGGGATGATCATGCGCCTCCCGCTCGCGGTGGATGAAACGGAAGAAAAAGAGGATGTCGAAGATAGGTTGGACTGGGTGCGGCTCAAGGGAGTTTCAGGAAGGGTATCGTCGATAGACTGCCGGGGGGTAGGCAGACCTGGGGCACGGGTATTTGGTGGGACAAGCTGGACTTGAAGATTCAGTGGATGGTTAGACTTTGCCGGCGGTGGCCGTACAAAAATAAATGTCTGTAATAAATATAAGCGTCACCAGTCTTCAAATTGCATAAATAATATAAACACGAACTTCGCTGGCTTTTTTCTCTCTTTCTCTTCTCTCCGTCTTGGATTCGTTTTTAACTGCCTCTTCCTGTACATCGTCTTCGTCGTCTTCAATAACAATCGGTTTTGGCGCCGTAGGAGATGAGTTGAGGTGTAGCACAGACGGAAGAAGGGAATTAAGCGAGGAAAACATCCCTCGTCGTCGTCGTCGTCTCCGTCTGGATGGTGGTGGTAATGGTGAGAGCGCTACCGAAATTACAAATGAAGCCAAGAACAGCGGTTGTACAAACGGAAACACGTAAGCGGCTGATGGTTTCCAGACTTGGAAGTCAACTCCGCTCGCCCGATGAAAACATATGTAATCCGGACCCTAACTGCGGAGATTTCGGTCCTTTTGGTGTGCAGTGATACAGGGAAAAATAGTAGAGCTACCGAGAAATTCTATGCAAGTCTGGTTTCCCTCATGGCTCGATATATTTAAATTTGAATCCACGCCGGAAACAAGGAGGATGCGTCATTCGGCTCTGCGTCATCATCTGGTTCTCGGTATTTGAATTTCTGTCAAGGCACGAGTCGCAGGACGGCGCCCAATGCAGGGTGCGGCGTAGTGATTGCTATCGTACGATCAGCATATCGGAAGGACCATGGCAATCAAAATAAAGGGAAGAAGTTTTACAATGCCCACCCTATTAACTGCGTTTGAACATAACGATCTAGCAAACCCCGACGCGCGGGGCTTCTTTGAAATATATCAGATCAAGATCGGAATTGCTTAGCGTGCCTCATGATCGCAACGAAGGAGTGGAATTTTAATGTTATCGTTGAACTTTCGGATACTTATCAGCGTTACTATATACCAGGAAGAGATGTCCCAGAACTATGCTGGATACTTTGCCATTGCCATTGCCAAGACATCAAAATATGATGGTCATCCGAGTTTAGTCCGAGTCCGAGTCCGAGTCCGACGGCTTTTGAAGGATGCAAAGCTGGGTAATTCTTTTTAGCAAAAGTTGCAAGCCCTTGTGACGCGTGCGTTGGATGATGGAAAGTTATATCATGCCCTCCTTCCCCCGTCCCATAGTAGAAATTAATATATTTCTGTCTTCCCCATCCAAGAACCTAGATGAAGTCCAAGATTTCCAGTTCCCTGTCCAAGCATCGATATAGACTTCAAAATGAAGTCTAAAAGTGCGAATTTTCCCCTAGAAAGAGGTGGTGTGGGGGAAATATTTAATTTTTCAATCTTTGTCGAAGAAATCAACGACAACGGAGTTGAAACATCCAGATTGAACTGAAAACAACATCACGTGATGGCTACATCTCCCATTTAGGTTGGCCAATTGCCTTTTGTGGATCATGCACGACTGCTCAAAATATAACGATAAGGGATGTCGGAGAACCGCTGCCTCCTTTTGGGGGCATCAACGGAATGTGTATTCACAAAAAGCGGCGGTGCGGTTTGGGCGACTGAGTCGCTAGAGGTCACATTGTCAGCTGATATTACGCTAACCACCCACCCCTTCCGACATGCGTCCGGCATAAGGCAATTCTATCGAGGAGGGATATAGAGTTGACATGATGCCTAGTTAGCCATTTTTCGCATGCCGCTTGATTCGGAAGAAGACGAGTTCAGCTGATGTATTTTGGTAATGCACCTGGTTCTTATTAGCAACCAATATCAATGTAGCTGTGGCAAAGACAAGCGGCGCGTATAATTTAGATATGACATGTGACAAGAGCTAATCATACTTGAAGGTGGTAGAAAGGCGCCTTTGCGTTTACATCTTTCTCTGTCCATGGACACCAATCGCTTCTATACCCCTTGTGAATTCTTATGTAAATCCAGATTCCCTCAGACACATATAAATTTGTGTGCCAAACCTGTACGAAGCCGAACTTAGCATGATCCTCAAGCTGAGCACCCGCACACACTAAATCTCGCCATGAAACCCTTGATTTTAGAAATTAGAGCGATATTTCGGAAAGGCAAACCCAGTCAGGAAAGATGTCCCATTCATCCAGTTCCTCCTGTTTCCAAAGCTTCAAGAAAGCATCTGAGGCACAGTAACTTCGTCCAAAAGGTGCTCCTTTGCCGGAAAGATATTTTCGCAATATTACCAGCTCCCCAGCTTATATAATGAAGAGACGCCTATTGACGAAGAAGTTAGCAGGAAAAATAGCTGTATCAAACAAGAACCTAAGCCCTCCAACGGATAGTCCAATTCGAGATCGAAAACATGTAGACATGTCATACGGCTTGTCAGCGCATCGATCCCTCCGAGAGAGCACACGTGATCAAGACTCAGTAACATCAGGATAAAAAGAATAGAAGGCGAGATCTCATTGGTCAGGGTCGAGAACCATTCGTAAGCATGACAGGAACATATTGTGCGTCTTTCTGACGGAAAGGGGTTAAGCTGACAACATTCGTGATTACGATGCCGACGGTGGACAAATGATGGACATCAATTCCACCAGATGACCTTTACATGTAGACTGATAGCCTGACAGTGAGTAAGCAGCCACGACAAAGTTAACCGAACACATAATTGTGACGCGTGTGGACTCGAACGACTCTTAACCATAAAAAGGGCCGGCGCAAAATTTTTTGACCTGTCGGCTCTCAGTGGCGTGCAAAGAGAAACAGCCTAACACTCAATAGCACAGTGGTAGTAGAAGATCTAATCCATGAAATATAATAGCGCAAGGACATACCTAACAAAATAATGATTCTTCGTTCCGCAGTTTGGTCTCCTTCCTGCGGAAAAAAATTTGCAGTCACCCTCAAAATCATCGTCCAACAGAGATCGTTGTGTCCTTCATCGTAGAAACATGCACCTTACCATCATTCGTCCCTTCTTAGTTCGGGAGAAGAGGCATGGAAATTCTGACCCTGCTCTCTGATGCGTTCTCACTAACGGCTAAGTAATTCAGCGAAATTTTAATGCTCCTTGCGCCTGTTGACATTTTTTGTTATGATAGGCTGGAGGATACACCCGATTCATTCTATGGTACAGATATCTACGGACTATTTTGATCTTACGTCCCCCGTATATTAATTTACCGTCCTATGATGCACTTGGTACGAGCCCTTCGTAACCACTCGTTGCCTCTCCGAAGTACTTGGAATTTCCACGATCCAGTGCGAAGGGCGACACCTATGCAAGGATCAAATCATCCTTTCGGCGAACAGAAATCATCTTTAAATGCAGATACGTGCTATGCCTTTGCTGATTTGTACATTTCTGTAAAGCTCAGATTGCGAGTCATTATGCTCCATTCTCAGGGAACGGTTTGTCTGACTCTCTACCACGCATTCTCTATTCCGGTCAAAACTCGGGCCTCGGTTGGCATCTCCACTTCTACGACCAAAACGTTGCTCGCTCCACGGCTGGGGCGAGCAAAAAGTGCGGTCTGTTCTGAATGTGTTTCCCATTCTATGCAACCCATTGGGATGTTCAGCAATTGTGTAAGAATTTTTTTGGGGTGAATATTGCGGAGAGTCATATTATTCATTTGGTGCTCCCAGGCCAGATCCTATAAATTCGCCGAACTCACTATGCGGTTATATTCCCATTCTTTGGCAAATGCATGAACAGGGAATTACCGCATCATGTATCGTCTATTCTGAATAATGAATCCTGCAATTTCAAGGTCAACGGCTTCGCACAGCAAAGAGCCTTCTCTTGTTTTTTCTTCGTTCTCTCGCTGAGCATTGAGCCCATAATAAGTAAACCGGATATCGAAAATGGAACCTCGAGGAGAATTCACTATCATTAAAAAAAATGCTTGGATTTCATACGCAGTATGCAATGACTGCCCGCAATTTTCAACTAAATGACCCAAGTTGATTCATGAACCAACATACCTGGTACAGTACCGGGTACCAGCCAGGATACCGCACGAAACCTGGGTTTCAGACAGGTAAGTCACTGGTAACTTACACTCCCCCCAGTTTCGTGTGCATGCGAAAGGCACGGTGCGCCAGCGGGACATTGATTGAACGCAACAAAATCTAATTCAAATCCCTCACATCTCTCTGACTGGGAGTCGAACCCAGCTTTCGCGCGCATACCTTTTCAGAGATATTATGACAGGCGCGTGTACTAACCGATATACTATCAGAGAGTGACATAATGTGTCTAATTCTCAAATATATTATAAGGTACAGCTGTTCATTTTTGCCTGCTATTAAAATATAGATCTTCATCATCCCCTTGACATCGAGCAGTTAGTTGTGCTGGCTCTTACACAACTCGACACCAGAATATAATGACTTTGGGAAATACAGGAGTCAAGGTGAATGAGTATTATGATATTCAAAGCATTCACTTTCTGACATGATGACCTTGGCTGACTGGTTAACAAGGAGGTCGAGATATCGAAAATCCCAGTGTAGAAGTTGAGGGAAGAGCGATAATAGAGATGTTGTCCTCGACGATACTTTCACAATTTGTCAAACTAACCCGACGACCGTTGCTTTCTCAAACGCAGAATAAGGAGTCTGAAGTGGGATAAATCGGAGATCCAACAGAGTTGACATTGCCTCTGGACATTTCGCATTTCTGAATGTCGTGTTCGATGACAGGTGGATATGCATAGAGAGGAGAGGCGGCTCTCGTTCGTTATGCAAAGTGGTGGCAACGAGCGGGACATAACAAAAGGGAAGTGACGATGATGAAGGAAGACATATCTGTGCTGGTTACTTTGGTTAGGACATCCGTCATTATTCTCTGTAATAACCTGACGGATTTCATAGTGCAACAAGCGTTATTCCCTGTATCGATAATAAATGATGCACTACCTGTTGGATCAAGTCATGTTGTGAGCGGACCTGCCGCATATGTACGTACGCCGGTACGGTGTTACAGGTCAGTGCCATCTCTTTATCTTTGGGCCAATTTTGAGGTTCTTGATATACCGGGGATGCCTGCAATGGGTATCATTGACAGCCTTACCGCAAGAATGTTACATCTTCTCTTGTCCAATTCCTCTTCTTGACCTTGTACGGCGTAACATTGCAAATCAATGAAAAATCTCAATGAGTGTCAGCATTTGGCATTTTACATGCTTCCAAAACACGACGTGTTGTTTCATCCCACGACGTCTCGCATTGTCAGCCACAGCTGGCTGCGGAAATGCCTGCTGATATTGAGGAGAGCTCAATGAAGCTTCAGGCTTTGCAGCAGCCTAATGCGCCTTCAAGTGATACACTTCCTCTGCTAGGATGACGTGAACCGGCAGTCCTCGAAATTGGAGCTCCCGTCGAATTCTGTGATCTTTGACTTGACGGAGCCTTGGTGACTCGGACCGGCTTTCTCTGGAGGCGTGTAGTATCACACTATGTTCCTGTTCCAGATGTGGCGATTCCAAGTGTTTAAAGACGGGTGGGAATGATCTGATTGAAGGGTATGGGATATGTAAACAACGGATAAGGGTGCGAGACTTAGAACCCTCTTTGTTCATCTTTTGGGTAACGAATCTGATCAGTTTCACTTGGCAGAAGATTCGCAGTCTTGAGACTGTCTAATGCCGCTCTAAGCCAACACTCGTCTGTGCTTCTTTGCTTCTATCATTTTTCTCATTTTAAATCACCCGCATAGTATTCCATCGGCGCAATGCATATCCAATCTTACGTGCACTACGAGAGCCACGGGTCTCTCACGTTATAGTCGATTTAGTGCCAGGGCCATTGTCCCTTGGCCCCACTGCGTCTCCGAATGTACCTGCCCTTGGACCTGATATAGAGATACTGGCATCAAGATGCCCCTGTCTTGTCTCTCCACTTGTGATGATCTGATGAATAGATGCCGGTAAGCTAGGATACAGTGTGCTGTACCGAGCCCTTAGCGCTTCTATGTCATGGGAAATCGGTTAGCCGGACTGTCTGAAACCTTTTTCTCTTCCAACCACTTGCTCCTGGTGTGCCTACATATTTTTGGCCAAAACCTATTGAGAATTGACGATAAATCATTCCGTTTAGAAGGCCGAAGTGTGCGGGCGAATCTCTAACCAGTTTCAACGGCAGTGCAATGGCAGTCAATCAATGATATAATTTTTTGCGTTATATCATGGCAACAACGTCCATCCAGCTTTATTGTGGGATAACCTCCCTTGACAAAAGGAGTAGAGACGAAGTGTGCGCTGGACCGTACGTGAATCTGGCATCTCCTCCTTGTCACTTAAACATGTTGACTCTTTCTAGCAAAGAAACATCCAGTCGTACACCTTACCATCGAGAAATCTTGGTCTCTAGAAGTTTTTGACCCTCCTGTATGCCCATGATTGAAACCTATAAATGTTTCCACTTTATCATCATTGATTGGGCTTTCCAGAGGCATTGCTTTGCCTTTCAGTGAGGTTATCTGGCCCCTTCCTAGTGATATCGCCTGCATCACCGTTGACGAGGCAAAAGGCCACTACCTCACTTTCAAGCACGACGGTACTCTCTATGGCAAGTATCCTGTAGATGATGAGCAGCGTCTCGTGACTGGCTGTGTGTGATGCAATTACGACGATGAAACTCAAGGGCACTACAAATGTTCGTAGAGTTTTTTTCGTTCAAGTTGCTGCTTGACTCAATTTTGGTTCCAGGTGCCGTTAACATTAAATCTATTGTCACAAATCAAGATGACCACTCTGGCTTTGCTGAATTCAAGGGACCCATGGTCGCGAACATCAGGACCAGTTATGCTGGGTCTTGTGTGTAAGTTAAGCGTCATAACCGTGTGGGTCAAAAGTACAGCTTCGGATTCCTCTTACTTTGCTTTTTATCCCTGGTATTTCTACATGTTATTTATTCTTCTGCACCAAGTATTGTAGGCAATACACCCACTTTCCTTTTGAACATCTGAGAAGTCATTTGCTGATACTCCTTTAATGACCATGAGAGGCTGAGCTTGTGTGTATCAGGCCCAGGCTTGTGAGGTAAACTTAGAGCACAGCGAACTGAAGTGCTGGCTGAGCCCGGATAGAATTTGAAACCAGCATCCACTCAGAAGATAACAAGCAGAGAACTCTGAAGATATCATCAAATATCATGATTTCTCACCCATACATTGCTTGTCTTTTCCCCCTGAATGAAATTATTGAGTGAACTGACTCGGAGGGTCCAGTTACAACAATTATAAAAGACGTGGACCCTTTCCGGGATTAAACCTTTAAAAGCAGCAAGGACTAGATATTGGGTATAGAAAAGCTTGCACAAGTACTCAGTGTGCTTTGGTTCCGTGACAGTACTAGAATTTGGTGAGCAAGTCCGGTGGGAAAAGGTTTCTCCGCTGGCTTTGGCTCCTACCGTCACGTACCCACTGTCCCAGTCAATATATCAACCCTTTGCGTCCTACTATTCATTCTCTTTGATTGCGTATATACATCATCTTTCATGATGACGTGATTACCCTCTCAATTTGTGCAACATTTTGCCTGATAGAATGTCCATGATGCATTTGGGTCAAGCAGGCGACTTTTTCATGCGGCGACGCCTTCCTGATGGACACTACCTGCTGTGCCTTTCTCGACGGCATGCTTGTGATTCGGCCGGGCCAAGGATTCCTCAAGAATTACGAGGAACGGATCCTAATATTACGTCGCTCATTTTCATTGAGAGCAAAGCACTCGGTGGCAGCAGCACTTTCCATAAATGCTGTCCATTGGGAAATTCTGATGCACAATAATTGTCTTTTCCTGCTCAGTTGCAAGATCAAGGGCCATTCGTGACAATTCGAGAAATGGTCTTTGGACTCTTCAGGTCTTTGACTGAGATACCACCCAGGCGGAGAGCGAGGCCCTCAAGGAACCTCAAGATATGACGTGCTGTAGGGAGAAGGGAATACTTGGTGACTAGGCTCCTTTTACGGTGTGTTAAAAAGGCTGGCTCTGACAAAGGTAAGGTTCCATCAATGCTGGTCATTTGGCAAATGCTGATAGACAATCGAAGTCTTAGTCTTTTCTGTCATTTCCCAAGATTGATGTTCATTGTAATAACAAAGCGAGTGGCAATCCTTTGTTCCTTTGTTCTGAGAACCCATAAAAACTGGACTCCTGCCCTCCGTTCTCATCATCGCCATTCGAGCCCTGGAATATGTCGGATCCCACCAAGGTAGACAATGAAGTCGTTATCGCAGAGCGAGGCGACCAGCGTCTTGCCATCCCCAGGCTGGCCTTCTTGCAAAGATCATTCTCCGTATGTTGAGGGATATTCTGATCATCGCCCCACTATCTGACGTTGAACCCATATGGACAGTCTTTTCAAGCCTACGCGAACCAACAGCTTGATACGGCTGGTGGAACTTTCGTCACGCAATCGCTTAAGGGACAAGAAGGACGGGAAGTGCTCATCCCAAAACAGCATTGGGCAGCCGTGAAACCACAGATCCGCTCAGTGAAGATACAACGGCCACCCACACCAGGCATGGGGTTCTGTGATATCTTATTCTTAGCTATGGTTTGTGCGGGGATCTTTATGGCAGGTGTCATCATTGAAAGCCAACCTCGTGGCCCTTGTGCGCGTTTATATCACCGTCTCTTGTGCCACTGACTGATTTCCTACTGTTCAGTTTGAAGCGATAGTCTTATATATGTATTCAAGGCCTTTCTCTGCCGTTATGCTATGTGATTGGAGCTTTAATCTGATATATGCATATCATCCTTTTCGCCGTGCTCTGCGAGTCTGTTTGAAGTGGTAAAGGGTATCGTCCTTGTCTTGTCCTTATCTACTGATATTGCTCTGCTTTCTTTATTCATTCCTCTGGCGGACTCGTCACGGCATTAAACTATTGACTGTCCCATCATACAAGGTGTCCTTCATTGTTCTCGACGACATCGACAAGCAGTAGATGGTCATGGTTGACACTTCGCAATTACAGATAAGTACGACGTCGTAGGCTCAATCCGGATCCAAGTCATCCAGATTGAATGCTATCTTGAATAACTCTGAACCGGGCAGGGGTGGGTCTTGAACGAACCTATAATTGTAGTTGAAGGACCAGACGAGAATCCATGGACTTGCTAGATAAGAAAAGTACGGCGGGAATACCCACACCAACCCTACGTCATCTGGCGGGAACTGCATTCCGGTAACAAGTTACCGTTGATGATCTCTTTCTCTGATACCGGTGCTACCAGGGGAGACCACGTCAAACTGAACTCCAAGGATAAGCCTGCCGGCAATATTATGATGAATAAAGGTCATACCAGTGTGTCTGGATCTTTGTTACCCATCATTTTTGGAAACGGCGCAAGTTCTGTCAGGCTCGTGATTTCGGGGAAGGCCAGTGAGTCATCTTTACTTGGCCAATGATTGGTGAACAAGATTGTTGTTCAGGGTCATTGCTGAAACGACGGCATCATCGTGCCGTGTCTCAATTTCTTTGTTTGCTCCTCTTTTCTTTGTTCATTCTGTTGGAATTTAGGTGCTGGTGATTCGAAGGAAAGGTATATTTCGTCGTATAGAGTAAGGACGGTAGTGTTTGCGAGTCAAGTTGATAGGTACGAAAAATGTCAAAGTATGAGGTAAGCAGTAAATATATATAAATAGAATATGATATTAAAGCCGTGAAAACCGAATCTCAACACATTCGTTATATATATATTATATATCTTGACTGCTCGCAGCATCTTTCTTTACCTCGCGCGATGACGAATTTTCACCCACCCGCCTCCCTCATAGACTATCTTCTTAACTACTCTTTTACTATTTCTCGTACTTTCCATAGTTGGCTTGGGTTGTCCCCTTAAAGGCTCCCGAGAACTCAGTATCTCTCAATGATGTTGGGATTTTGCTGGAAAGTTCTAGAAAGGGCAATCCGGCATCATGCTGAGAGTTGATGAGTAAGCTCGAGAGAAAGAGAAAGTTGTAGTAAATTCTAGATATAAGTCTTGAGAGTATAAATACAAGCCCTGTAGGAGCTGTAGAATAACAAGTTCATACCATCTGGCCTTACCGGCCTGGAGTCTACCCTGCACATCACCGATGATTTCCAACAAATGACATTATCATTGATCCCAAAACTTGATCCCTATCCTGTCCTCTCATCAATTTATCTTTCCTCTCCATCTTCGGAGATTCGAGCGATGAACATGTAAATTACAAGTTATCGGAGAACAGGCCGACCTGGCCATCACCGGCCTGTGGCGGCTTCAAGTTGCCGATACCGGCTTTTTCATTTCTGTCTTACTCCCGATTGTTCCGCATAAAGTTCCTAAGTTCCTTCCTTCCGGTCTTCAAGCATCTTTTCAACTGCAGAATTAATTGAGAACCGTTTTTATGTTTGGGAAGATGCGCAACATTCCATGAAATAGTATGTGCTGTATGAATCTCTGACACTTCATTGCGGCCGGGGCGATCATTGATGCTCTGATCTCTTCGTAACAGTGTCAAGTCTTGTTTCAGTATGGTTCGAATGGAGAATGCCAGCTTGCCGAATCCTATCGAGATTGGACCGGCACGGTAAGTAGTGCCTAGGTTTCTGTTTCATCTTTTGAATCTATCCTTTACCTCGGGCGACAGGCATTAAAAATCCTTACCCTGAAACTACTGTATGGCTTTGTTCTGTGCCCATTGTTAAAACCTACTGTGGATCGCTAGAATTTCATGAATTTCTGCAATTTTGCCGTGTTGACCGCTATTACTACGATCCGAGCCACTCCGAGACGATCTTTGTCGAAGGCATCTTTTATCCATGTTACAGGCGGTGCAGTATATTAATTGATCCTGTTTGATGATCCTGTCGATGAGAAACAGATACTACGAGTTTGAAGTGCAACTGTCGGAGAGATTTTCTATGTAATTACTAATCAGTGACCCAACGCTGACATCCTGAAACATAGC